CCCACCCACCCACAACCAGCACGCACAACCACCCACGCACCCACAACCACCCACGCACAATGTCTATTTGCCCACAGTAAAACCATAAAGGTCATAGTGAGAGGAGGTCTTGATTGATTATTGCAGACAAGATGGGGGTTTTACTTTTGTGATGGCACAAGCAAAACTCCCAAATTTTCTGTACTTGATTGGTCTGTGTGGTATTTTGGTGCCCAGCTCAGAGCACACAGTGCACAGGTGAACACATGCAACTGAGACAGCACAAAGAGAGCTGTTGGTATTTTGGTAGGTCTTAGACTTTGCACTGAGAATATAACGTCTGTTTCTGACACATCTCTGACGTGATTTTGTCAACTAGAACACACAGAATACTCCCACGTTGATACACCTGCAGCTTTTTAGAGAAGTGCCGTGTCAGAGCACAGTGCCATTATACACAAGTGTTCACTGTGTTACTTCCATTAAATCACATGCAGATAACACCAGGCTGACAAAAAAAAACACTCAGATCCACTATTATTCCATATTCTGCCTGCTTAATGCTGTCAGAGCCTCTTTTACAATAACAAAAAGTGCTGTGTCACACTTAAAGTCATGATGTGACATTTTACAATGTGAAATACAGTAGAGTTTTAATTGAAACCAATAGCATTAGATTGATGCAGTCATATGAACATCTTTACCAAAGAATTTCTTTTTTATTATTTATTTATTTGTCATTTTATTAATCAAAGGGGTGTGTAGGATTTAATGGCATGTAGCGGGTTAGTCTCAAGGAACTACAGTGGCTGCAAAACCTGCAATAAAACTATCTAGAGCCGGTGTTTTGGTTTGTCCGTTCTGGGCTATTGTAGAAACATGGAGGACCCACTACCTCTGAAGATAAAAACGTCTCATTCTGAGGTAACCTTTTCTGGTAATTATCCTGACACCAGGTACCCACTCTTGGTGACTACCTTGAAGGCTGCGCAGAGAGCAAGCCAAGATGCTGAGGAGCTCAAATGATCTTCACGGGGAAGAAAGCAAGAATGCCGTGTAGAGCACCAGGGGCATTTATACAGGGGGACAGGCAGGCCCGTGCAACTGTAGATGATTGGTCTGTCTCATGACAGATGTCGCGGTATTGGAGCTTTGATGATTGGTCATGCCAGGAGGCGCTTCCCATAGTGAGATACCGAGTTTGAAAGAAAACATAATTCCTATTTTCAGGTGATTATATACACTAATGAAAACATACCTATGAATTAGGTATTAGGAATTATATTCCATTTCTGACAATAGATCCTGACAATCTTCTCTTCTAACTACTGGTAAAAAACAACAACAAATGAGCTGATTTCCTAAATTATGGAACTTTTCTTTTAATATCTTGGCTTAGCGTCAAATCACTTGATCTTCAAATGTGTAGCTGGACCAACAACCTTTTTTTCTCACTCTCAAGAATGAATTATACTGTCCCTTGGGCATGATGTGTCACATGCATCCTTCTTTTCATCCCGTAATACTAGACTTGGAACAATGCCTAATCTCCTCCTGACAGCAGTCAGACACTATTGGTGACAAATGGAAGACATGAATGAAAAATGATGGAGTAGCCACAACTCTTTTATGAGTATTTTTAACATTTAATGCCTATAGACGACATGCCTATTTAGCCCTGATCTGGCACTGTCAGTCAACGCAGCGTGTCTCACCTGAACAAATGGCTCTGAGTGACACTTGTGTGGACCTGGGTACCGTCAAGTGATGTAGTGGACTGTCATAATGCTTTGAGTTATCGGCCACTCCATGTTACACACGAGTGAGGCATTATCAAGGCTGAAAAGCCAATTACTTGATTCAGTTTGTCGTCGTTTAATGATGATTTAAGATGGCATCGAAGTGCTTCTATATTTTAATTGAAATGCTCTGTTGTAGGGAAATGGACACGAGCGTGACTTCTTGGATGACAGGCGAGTGTTCATCATGGATATTTATAATCGCTACATCTATCCTGGGGACGAATATGCCAAAAGTGAGTGAAAGCGCCATCAATTTCCTTCTCAAGCTTTTCTTACCTTTGAATTCATTGAAAATGTGCTAACTTAATATCTTTAGACAGTAACTAGTGTTCTCTTGTGCTTTTTTTATGTATTTAATACAGGCAAATAATTCATGTCAGACACAGCAATATTAACACAATGTAAATCCACAAAAAATAAGACCAACAGCAACAAAAGCACAGGGTTCCCACGCATCCTGGAAAAAATGGACATATAGAGACTAGTTTTCAGTCATGGAAACACCTGGAAATTGAATTAGTATGACCAAATATCCAGGAGCTAATCTTGTTTGTCCTGGAAATGTTTTAATTGAATATATGTTATATATAATATAAGTCTGAGCTGTGGCTAAATCAGTGCTGAATGGAAAGCCAGAAACTTGGCTGTGGTGAGAACGGCCAAGCACGCCAGGAAAGCAAGCTGACTCGAAGTGTCCCTCAAATGATGACCACCGTTTGTGAGAAGGTGCTGTCCTGTATTGTAAAAAAAACCTCTTTTCTCTTTTCTTAAAAAGAGTGGGAACCCTGAAAAACAAAACAATTAGACAGTGAGAAAAAAGTACATAAAAAGACATAGGGCTCTATCTTGCCGATCTGAATCGCAAGTATCAAACGCAAAACGCAAGTAGCCTTGTGGGCGGATCTCGGACGCTGTTGCTATTATACCGGCGGGATGAATGACTCTTGCGCCCGACGCAAA